CAATTTAGTGGGTTGCAACTAGCATTATTTTCAGGAAGATAAAATAGAACAGACAATATCGTTGTAATGTAAAACACCGTTACATGAAATTTTTGCTTCAATTACACACGGCTATGTTCCTATGGGGTCACAATGTTGCTGGGGTCACTGTCAAGAAATTTGAAAGTCACTTATCTAGACTGTCAAGAAGTTTGAGTCAAGGGAGAGAGATGTGTCCGCATTTAAATTTTAAGATATAGACATACATGCAAGAGATTTTCTAACACCTGTAACATTTATAAGGTTGACAATAAAAAAAAAAAAACCCGGCAAGATTCACAGGGATATATATAATCCTGTAATTAGTCTCCCTAGCAACACCCTCTGTCCAAATCAATACAAAAGCACTAAATAAAGATCTGACTTAAGGTAAACTCATGAACGAAACAAAAGGAGGAGGGGAACAAACACAAAGGAAAGGTCTAGAGCATAGATTACAGACAGTGACCAACTTTCTAGTCCATGGCTGATGAGTTCATGTGGTCTCTCTGCTCAGTTCTGGGGAGCACATGGGAGGTGTTCAGAGACAAAGGAGGGCAACCACTGGGCACAGAAGAACCTGAACACAGCAGACCACACCGGGCAGGATGACCCAGAAGACGATGGCAGACTCAGGGCTGCAGCCTTCGCAGCACATCCAACTACAACCTCGCAGAAACTTGCCGCCACACGTGGAATAAGATGTGACCTTCTCCCACGCAGGGCCGAGGCCCTTCCCTCACCCCGTTCCAGCACGCTCTCGACAGCCAGAGCTGATCCCGCGTCTGCCCCCCGTGCACACTGCTCTTCGGGTGGCCTGAGACATGTTCCCCAGGTCCTGTGTGGCCGCTGCTTCCGCATCTTGATCTCGGTTCACACATCGCCTCCTCACAGAGGCCTTGTCTGACCAGGCCCCTTCTAAAATAATTCTCCTCCTAGTCACACTCTGTCACATGGCTGACAAATCAGGAAAAACAACAACAACAACAACAACCCACAAAGACACAAGATGATTAGCTGTTCCCTCTCACCACAAGATAAGATCAATGAATACGACTGGTCATGTTTAGGCTTGTTCCTGGTCCCTGGAACAGCACAGGCACAGAAAAGGTATTAAAACTGTCTTGTAAAGGATTCAAATTCAGGTATTTTAACAGAATAATAAACAGTCCATGAATTTCTTCTCCTTCTCCCCTCTTCTTTTTCTACATCTTCGCCGCCGCCATTGCCACCACCACCACCACCACAATCATGTTAACCTAAGCAACTTAACAGCACATCACAGTGAATGAAAACACTTTTACATTCATTGTATTATTATAGATAATTGTATTATTAGAGATTAGGGCACAACATAGAATAGTTATTATCCATATTTGTTTTTATAAATAAATTTGTAAAATGAAAAGTTAGAAAGTTAGTAAATGGTTTGATCAAAGTCCTGAAGAACAATGGACATGTAAATCCAGATGTGCTCCGTTTTCTCCAAAACATCATGCTATTTCTCACACTCAGAACAGAGCAAGAGGAAAAACACGGCTGGCACGTAATGAGGTGGGGATGTGCAGTCAACGGTTAGAATGGGAAGTTATCGAGGACATCAAACTCTAGAGAGGACCCTGCCAGCCTAGCTGAGAACTCAGCACAATATTCTTTAGGCAACAGGGAATCATCAGGAACTTGGGGGCAAGTGACATAATTAGATAATCTCTTTTAGGAAGATAACTCTGCTGGGATTATATATAGTTGATTTTTTTTTAATACTGGAAAGAAGGGAGAGTATTTTCCTAGTTTAAAGATGAAGTCATGATGGATTAAGGACAAGTGAATAGAAAAAGAGAGATATTATGATTCAGTGTACGTGGTGGAAGCAGGGAGGGAGTAAAAGAAAAACTGAAGGCCTTTGAGAAATTTTTTTTTTTCGATTCTGAGGATTTGAACATAGTTCAAATATCCAGCAACATCAGATTTAGTATTTGTAATTTTTTGTCCTATTCTCTATATTGACATACTTTTAATTAAGGAAGATGCTTCTGAAAACACTACAAATGTGACCACCTGTACAACTTTATTTGCTACAGCATATGTGAGAGAACTGCAGATTTTGTTGCAAGTTGATCTGTTATCATGAAATGAAATAATTCAATAAGTGCTGTAAAATGAATATAGAATGAAGAATTCAAAGGTCTGCTAATCTTTTAAGGATTAAAAATACAATAATTTTGCCGGTGTCGATTCCTATTAATGAATCAAAATAAGGAAAAACATTACCCTTTACTTCATTTCTGAAAAATACTATATATTTTGGAAAAAAGAAAATATATAGCAAGATGTTTTAAAATCCTATTAATTTTTGCCTTTTTAAATTAAATTCATAAAAACATCTTCTTTACAAAGTTAAATGAAATTGGGTCCCGGGATCAACCTCATTTTAAAGTAAACTATATGAACTACACATAGATCTCACTTATTTGTAGTTTCATTAAAATTTAGATCTCCTCTTGGGATAAATCATGCCCTGAGGATATTTTCCTCAGTAAAATCAGAAAACAAATCAACACGGAAATCAATAATTTTATCATATTTTCTAAAAGCAAAATAAGTTTGTGTAGGTGCCACAGTTGCTTTTTGTAACTAACTCTTAGAGGTAATCTTTCAAATTTGCTCTTAAAAATAAAAATATATGACAAGGGATTTATTCCCTTGTTATTAAATACATATTCTTTGTTAGCAGACAATTTTTTCTGATCCTTCTAAATAGGTTATTGGGTCCACCTACCCATCGTAGGTTAGACTTCAATCATTCATTCTCGATGTTCACTATACTTTGCTTAGTGAATTTTAGTTTCAGACCATCAAAATCTTCACTTTGCAGAGATGAACAAGCAGCAATAAAAGAAATTTTCTTATTTTAAGAATACTTTTTTCTTAAAATAATATGGGAAAAAGCCCTGGTGAAATTATTTTTCTACTGATTCATTCGTCAAAGAAAGTGTCTCATTGATAACTTCCTCACTGGCTGTACTACAGGTTGTGTTGTAGAATGTTTTGTAATTATGTGCATCCCCACTTATTTTATGTACACCCACATATATATTTACATATACACATAACACTACATGACCCTAAGTAAATGGATTTAGATAAAAACTGGTAATTAGGATTTCTTACATAATCTGGACTAACAAACGTATCACCTAAACTTGAAGATGCACGTTTGTAAGCCCTGTTTAGGACTTTTTGTATGAGACAGTGGCAGGCAAGCTAAAGAAATTCCCTTCCAAAACTGTTAAGATCTGAGTTTCAGAAGCCAGATCCTCAGGGTCAGGTGACTATAGTACTTACACTCAGAGTGACAGTCTGCAAAGCAGCATTTTAAAAATGTGTGTGTGTGTGTGTGTGTGTGTGTGTGTGTGAGCATGAGTATGTGCAGGTATGTAGGTGTGTGCGCGCCCATAAGGGTAACCGAGCATTTCTAAGTAAACAAATGACAGGATGCTGTTAAGACATTCAGGTGAGGAACATGTGAAAAGTGAAAATATGTTACTTTTACTAAGTGAGAAATGACACTGACATGGAATATCTATGTTTCCTTCTTACAAATGATATTATTTGCATTGTAAGAGCTGTAACTTTCAAATAAGACCTGTGAAAGCGCTACCCAAATTTATGCATTTCTTAGAGAATTTCATACCAAATTGTCTTACAGAGAAAAATGTGTGATGCTCCAAAAAAATAAAATCTAAAGTGAAAGGGAACAAGATAGTATTACTCAACATCAGTTGAAACCTTATTTTCTTAAAGTACTTGACAAAATTAAAACTCTGTGAAAAGGGTAAAGTATTATCTTTTTACCACTCTTTAATCCAGTATTTTTTCACTCAGCAGTGATCGGGTGCCTACTTACATGCCAGATACTGTTCTAGATGTAAAAAAAAAAAATTAAATGACAGGTTCAAGGCCACATAGAGTCTTACTAACAAGGCTGGAAAAACTTTAAAAAGTCTAGTCAACTAATTCAGATTATCATTTCGTTACTGTGCTATTTAGTGTAATTCACTTATCTTCATCAGGCCATTTTCAAGTTTTTAATTTCATATTTAAACACAATTTTATAAAAAAATTTAATAGTTTTCAATAAAGTTATGACATCAAAAAAAGTTATGACATCAAAGATAGGGCACCAAGTCAACTTATTTTTATCTTAATTCTTATTTTATTCTCATTGTTACCATTTTATCTAAGTTTTATATTTACAAGAACGAAATGCAATTTGATCGGTTTTAAGAGAAGCTCTGTCACTCTGTTTAGGTTATTCGGCCCAAAAATTATTTCCTCCTAGTAATTTCTACGGTTTCTGAAGTAGGTCACTTTCTTTCCATCGTTAATATTATTTTGTAATAGCTACATTTAGTTTTATTTTAGATATGAGACACTGCTACATTATTAGTTCCAGAACGACTAAACTGCAGATATCTTCTATATAATCTAGGAGAGTATTTTCCTCACTAGTTATAGGCCGTCTTTAGGCTCTCCCCTCTACAGTAATCACAACTATATGTGTTATTTTCATAAAAAAAAAAAAAACATTTACAAATTACTATCATATTTTTTATCATATTTTTAAATAGTCAAGTGAGGTCTTCTTTCAGGGTATAGTTTAATCATCATATTATCTGAATATTGTTAAATGGATAATGAAAAGAATGTTCCATGGCAATTGTTAAAACCAACTTTATTAGCATTTTTTTTTTTTTTTACCAAATGTCTACCTGGGGTCAAATTAACAGAAGTATCTGACTGTCATGTGAATGGACACATTATGTCCAATAGGGACCTACTCAGGATCTAATGATTTTAAAAATAGTTGTATTTAGAATGTAAGAGCTGGCATATAATTAGTACATCCCTTATGTTGTTTTCCACCCCCCCACCCAACACACACGCACACGGTAACTGAATGAGATTATACTGTCTCTTACCTAAAGAATGTGCAGCTGTGGTTTTGGAGCTGAAAAACCGACCAAGCCCAAGATCTCCAAGTTTGACCACTCCAGTGGCTGTAATGAACACATTAGCTGGTTTTATATCTGTGAATAGATAAAGGAATCAGGTGAAAGATGATGTCAGCTTAGGCATTTTCAAGGGATTAAAATACTTTTCATGGCAGAATTTAAAATCTATCTTAAAAATGAAAGGAAGTCAGTTTGAATTTTGATCCAATTGCTTTATTTTGAATAATTTTGATATATCCTAATTATTTCTGAGTGCTCAGTCCTTTGACAGAGAAATAATCATCAATGCAGCATGATGGAGATTGCTACTAATTTCCATTTAAGATGCATTTTCAAATAAACTTTTGTGAAATTCAAAGTACAAAATAAATTTATGCCTGCTTTATATCAATGTTAAATATCTTATTAAATATTAATTTATTGATATGTTTACATAAAATAGAAAATCATAACTCTATTATGAACATAATTCTTTATTTAAGATGACTTTAGAAATCATAATTGCTTAAATAAACTGTATTGAAATTTTTCACACCCCAAAATCAGAGGATCAGTTCCTAAGTGATGTAATCTTCACATGCTCTGCCCAACTATTTGATCAACATTCAAGAATACATTAAGAGCTAATGTTAAAAATTAAAAACCGAGGTGACCATAACATACATTGCTCGTTTGAAGAAGAAATCTTCCTTATGCATATTCAACTGCTTTCCTGCACTTTTTTATTTTTTAATTTACCAACATAATCAATAAGATGCTCAGAAGAGGCAAGCAGAACAATAACTAATTCTCACTTAAAACAAGTAGGGCTTTACTTAAAGGCTTTTCTTCCTAATAAATGATAATTTGGAAATAATTAGCAGAGAAAGCATGAAACTATGTCATGATTGGAAGGTATTTATTTTTAAATTGCCTAATAACCTGCATCATTTAAAACAACATTAGAAATTATTTGAGATTTTCAGCCTACCTCTATGCATGACTCGTCGAGAATGCATATGTTCCAATGCACTGCAGAGTTGAACAAAGTACTTCCAAACGGTCCTTTCAGGAATTAGCCTCTTTTGTTTCTTAAAATGCTTTTTAAAAAATTAAAAATAAGAATTATAGGAATTAAAACATCTTAAGACTAAATTCTGACATGCAAAATGCCTTAAGTCAGAAAAACATCTACGTTTTTCTATCTTTTACCAACTAAAAAGCATATGATTTCCCACAGTGAGATGAATCCAAGAATCTTACCTGACATATTAGCTTAAATCTCTCACTATTATATCTAAAGTTAGCACAGGCCATATAAACGCTACATCTTTGTGATGTCCAATGTTTCAAAAAATTAACATCTATATAAAGTAATTTCCTATCCTAAAAGGACAGTGTCAAATTTCATTTTAAGAAAACCCAGAATAAAATAGTCTGGAAACCTGAAGGTAATTATGTTCATTAAAAGACAATTCGTCTCCTGACAGAAGATTTCACTTATAGAATTCCTTTTAAATATTGAACCACCTTGGTGATTTGAAATATCAGTTAATTTATTAAAAATTAAATAAAGGAGATTTATGTAAAAAGTTTTCATGAATATTTCCATTGCACATTATAAGTCAAGCCTGCACTTTGGATGAAACTAAACTTCATGGAAGAAAAATATTATAGGAAGGTCCAGGCAAAAAGCTGAGCACCAACAAGCTGGTTGGGAAAGAGTGGGCCGTCATCCCTAAGACGGCAATCACCTAAACAACTACAAAACCAGACGCATACATTTATGCCCATTTTCCTATATTACATTTGCTAGAAGAATATACTTCATTCAAGAACAAAGTGCTTAGTTTCCTGAAATTCATAAAGATTCATTACATAAAAATTATGTTTCTAAAACAAAAATGCAATTGGTTTCCTATTTAACAATATTTAAAAATGACCAACAGGGGGATCCCTGGGTGGCACAGCGGTTTGGCGCCTGCCTTTGGCCCAGGGTGCGATCCTGGAGACCCAGGATCAAATCCCACGTCGGGCTCCCGGTGCATGGAGCCTGCTTCTCCCTCTGCCTCTCTCTCTGTGTGTGACTATCATAAATAAATAATAATAAAAAAAAATGACCAACAGGAAATACTACGTTTAATCAAGTTTTTATGAAATTCTGTGATAATTTTAACTTTTTAAGTATACACAGAGTTGTTAACGGATATCAACATTTAAATGCGTACTGTAGTGCATTTTATCTGGGAACGTTTTTGGAAGTTCAAGTTCAAAGTTTGATTTGTTATTGAATATGGAGAAACCGTAACTGAGAATAACTCTAAAACAAGTTTCTCTGTCAATTTTTTACCCCTGTGACCAGTTGAGGGCAGGCTGAAAGGAAAAACACCACAGGGAAATTTGCTGATAACCCTAGTTTATACTTAGTGAAAGATTATATCTACCATCTCATATGTACTCAATATGCCAAAAGGATAAATCTTTAAGGGAAAGCTAGTAACTTTAGGTTAATGTTTATCATAGCATATACTATGGAAATGCATTTAGTTAAATTCAATGGCTATTAACACCACTAGCAAAAAGCAAATAACAATTAGATGACCAGGTAATTAAAAAGGAGATCAGGGTTGTTACTAAAATGCTGAAAATGAAAACCTCCCATATCATGTTTCAATATTAAGTATTTTTAATTGCAGATTGTGTCAACATCACTTTTCATTCTAAGGGGGCCATACTGCAAAATCAGTTCTATACACATAATTTTCTTTCAGATTTGGAATGAGTCCAAATAAAGCCTGTCTATGTGCTCTCCCTGATGCTGGATTAGCATATCAGAAGACTGTTTGATGTCAACAGGAAGATGGGGACCAGGTTTCTTTTCATTCAAAAATAAATATACTGCATCATATAAGCATCAAACCATGAAAGAAAAATTTTATGCTTTAATATAGATTCTGAAATCATAATTAGAATTAACTTGGCAGCTTACTTTTATAGTCTCATTATTTAAAAAATAAACTATATATTTAGGAAAAGGCAGAATGAAAACACTGCCCTCAAAATGCACATTAGGGAAGATGTTAACAGACCAAGACAGTCTGATCATTTTCATGTTTTTATATTCTTTGAGACTGTCTCTTTGAACAACAAATTAAAGATGAAGACGATAAATTGACATCAAATTATAATGCTACCTGGACAGAATGACCTGGCAAAAAAACATAAGTGTCCAAATTAGTAAAAGGTTTCTGAAGAATAATTTTATGAATCTGATTTGATCATAAAAGAAATGAGAGGCAGTTTCATTATGTCATTAGTATTTCACAATATATTTTATCTGTTTAACTCACATGCAATATTCTACCACTTCTTAAGTGTAGGGTTTTGTTTTTTTTTTTTTTTTTTTTAAGAAAACCAATACTTATGATGAGAAAAGCCTGTCTGTTCTGATGGTGGCACTGTTGGCTATCTCTTAAACAGAGGATGAACAGAAAAAAAAAAAAAAAAAGCAATGAAAATCTGAATTCTTTTTACTACTGGTAAAATTTATATTAATATCACTGGGAAGAACTTCCATAATGCTGAAGTATTAAAAAAAAAAGAATCTTTTCTTGAAACTTATTCTAATATACACATATCTGTTAATTCTTTAGTCAAATAACATTATTCAAAAATCCTACTTCTAAAAACGACACTCTATGTAACTAGCTCGAGATTAGAAAAAAAATCTAATGCCAACATATAGAAACTAAAAATGTACTTATATTTGTCATGTGGTAAGTTTTTAATAAAGCAAGAAATAATGTAGCCAAAATTTTTAAAGGTTAGTATCAATAAACATTATGGGAAAAAGAAGATTATACAATACGGCTCTTTACTATATTTGCGTTATGAAACAGAACTTCAAGTTTGTTTAACCTGAAAATAAAATGTATAAAAGTTTATGAAGAGGCAGATATTGGCACTCAGGTATAGTTGATCACTTGGAATTAACTTTAATTAGTCTTCTCTTAAAAAACAGATTCATCTTTTCACTATGCAAAGCTTCAAATACTGTTTATTTTAAAAACCTCTTTACTATTTCCATCAACATCATTCAGGTAAACACTAAAGATTATTCAAATTAAAGAAACATATATCAAAGAGCTAGTCAATGTACATATAAAACATCAGAATACATTATATTCTCAGTTACATGTAAAAAAATTACCAGCATTTCTCTTAGGTGAAATTCAGCACATCTGGTAAAATATATTTACACTGCCACTTAAGTGACATATATGCATGTATATTAATATGAAAGAGGACAGCTAAAACAAGCTGCTTCCATTTGAGGATGCGGGAAAATAGTCACAACTTTTAAGAAAAAAAAATCATCTAACATTCTCCTCCAAGGTAAATACCCAAGATGCAATCCAATTAAATAGTGGACATTTAATATACATAGGGATCATTTTTTGGACTGAACTGGATCACGTGGCTCCTGTACTCTAGACCATCACTCTAAATGGAACATATACATTACTTATTTCTAAGTTTTACAATTCTAGCTGTTCTCCTCAAGAAATTTTGGGAAATGCTTCAGTGATATGACCTATAATAAACTTATCCACAGAGAAAAAAACAGAAAATTGTATTCTTGTTTTATTAAAAAAAACTAATTTCCATGGTATCAAGATAGTTAAGTCCATGGTTCAGTCTGTTATTTTTTTTTTTTTTTCAGTCTGCTATTCTTTAAAGAAAGAAGTTTCAGGAAAAATATCTAGAACTGGCTGGCTTCATAATTGTGCAACCTACACAATCATGCAGGTCACTGTTCTTAGTTTAATGCTCTGTTGTTGCCATCTTGAAACTCTTAACAATTTGACAATGAAGGACCCACAATTATGTAGCTGGTCCTGGAAATAATATACACAGAATCTTTTAGAAATGTACTGCTGTAGTTAAAACAAAAACAAAAAGCAACAAATGTGATCCTGGGTATGCAAGGCATTCCTGCAGAAAATCAGGAAAAAAGATAATGTGATGAGAAATAATGAAGTAATAAGAGAACTAGAATTACAAGCATCAGCTCCATCTCTTCCAAGTTATCTAACAAGAAGAAGGAAATAGTTTTATGTCAAATATAAGTATGTATTGCCTGCTTAGGAATGTTCTCAGATGTTTAATGTGCCCCTAACATAATCTATTATTATCTCACCTTTTATAAAGACCTAATTATGAGCCATGACATAACTGGTTATGCTACCTTGAGCAAGCCTCTTACCCTCAGCAGGCTTCAATTTCCTCTCTATACTGAACAGAGAGCTTGGAGATCAGTTTTTTGGTCCCCAGTGCCTCTAAAATATTATCTATGGTTTTATGACCTCGGGTACAAATACAACTTAAATAAATAAATGCCTGCTTGGCACATTTTCACATGTAAAAATAATGCTACTTTACTGGTATGTCCTATCCTTTAAGTATCCAGTTAATAAAAACAAAGCAAACAATAATAATAGTAACAGTAATACCTCAGAGATCCCCATAGGTCCAGTTAATACTACAAATGATCTTCACATGAGTTGACAGGTAGTTAGAGAAACTTGCAATAGGTCAAACATTTACCATCAGAAGGGATGTTATGTTCCCAAACATTTCTTTGTAATTATAATGCATTTTCATAAGACTACATTTTGCAGTGGTTATTTCAAAGAAATTCGATGCACAGCGACTGTGTGACGGAAAGGATAGGATGCTTCTGAAAGCAAAACTGAGAGTTCTAAGTGAGATATGTATTATATATTAATCTTTCTGCAGAAACATCTTTCCTCTGTAGGTGTAAGGAGGTCTCAACAGACTAAACTGCACAAATACTTGCTCTACACAATTTTGAAAATTACATAAATATGTAAAATAGTTAAAATTAGAATTTTGGTACCTAATACTAACTTGCAGCATGTGAATATTTTCACTCTTGGCATTCTGAATAAAATTCAGCAATCTGAAGTCACTCTAGACAGTGTGATGTGGAATGGGATTGGCAGCCATGAGACCACTGAAAACACTTATCACTGGCATGTGAGTTTATCTACTTTGATAAAATATTTCCCATGCAAGC